AAGCTTTTTTCTTTAAAGTTTTAGCTGAGCAATGAATTTTATTATTAGTATTCATAGAAGTATGTTTCTGAAAGTTCAGCTTTTACACAGGCATGGTTAGTCTCAATGCATCCGCATCAATCAACTATTACTGAGACAGTCATTATCATACTTTCAAAGAAGACCAAGATGAGTATTGCTCAAGTACATATGTTAATTATTCTTTAAGATATGTACGAATTTATTGTTCGTTTTCAAACAATGAATCGCACAAGCACAATAATTGTTGTACATTCAATTCAAATTACGCTAAACAATAATCACATGTCTTGGGGCATTGCTCTCTCATTAGCTGCATATATACAGCGTTTTGACATAATGAAACCCTTTGTGGACAATCCGATACGCCAGTTTGGGGATGGACAAAATCTTGGCAAGCTGAATTTTTTATGGTTATACTGAACTTTTGTGTAAAAAAAATGCAGTAAGCTTACTTGTTGCTGGTCCCACGTTACTAGTTTGCACCATTACATTTGTTGCATGTCAGTGGACATTGTTCAGCCATTAGTTGGCGGTAGATAGGATTTTCACACAAATGCTTACGTTGAGGACAATCCGAGACGCCTGTTACCGGATGGACATAGTCCTGGTATGGTGTAGGTGCTGAATCCGAATAGGTAGTGACTTCAAAATTTCTTATTCACCCAAAGAAAGAAATTATTCAGTTGAATATCATACGATATGACTTTACTGAACTCAGGCAGGCCTTTCAAACATTTGTCATGTTTTTGCATGTCGCTAATCACTGCATACGGTCAAATTATAACAGCGTCTTCATGCTTTGAATAAAGGCTTGCTCTTTGTTGTAATTAAGGTTCATGTGACATCGTTGTAATAATACTTAAGCTTCTGCTTAGCCTTCAGTCAATTTTAAATTTTTATCATTTCCCTGTCCAACTTCAATGTACAAAGTGTGTCTGATCCGCAAGCTCAAAATTAGCCTAACGATAGACCAGGCTTGATTTACATAGGAAAATTTTATTTACTGAAGAAAATTTGATTTCTTAAAGTTCTAGTGGTTGTTGTGCCTACTTCTACGTTAACACTTATAAGAATGTGATATTCGTTTAATACAGTAGATAAGCGTTATTGTAAATTACCTATGACTTCTTCAAAAGCTAGACGTTTCTTTTGCATGTAATCCTGTTATAACGTCTGCCTGATAATTATTTAATCATGAGGCTCGAAAAATCGCTCAAAAATAGTTTTTTTTTCAACGGAGATAGTCGACGTGCCAAATTCTTTTTATTTATATGGTCCATAACTGTTAGATTTCTCCTTTTTCTTTTATGTAAAAGAGGGCGGATGCATATTTATATAGGCTCGCTCGCTATGAGAAGTAGCCTGCAAGTGTAATAGTTTTTTTTCCAATATGACTAAAACTGGATTTTAGCGATACCTTCATTCTTAAAGGTAGTGAGAAGTGCAAAAGTTGAGCATGGCCAAGCAAACTACAAACCTTACCGCAGCAACCTCAATAATCATTGTTTTCAGATAAACCAAATAGGCTTGAGATTCTAGATTTTTTCAAATCCATGATGCTTTTCAATTTGAATCAAACAGCTACATTTTTTTGGTCTAGCAGCCAGGCGTTGGAGTTTTGACGATAAAGTTATCGGTGCTACCCTCATTTTGATGGAAGTGTCATTAGATCTGTAATACCACTAGGAAAATACATCCCAAGCATTTAAATCTTTGGTTATAGACCACCATAATTCTCCTCCTTCTTTCCTAACATAAACGATAGATAGAATAGTATTGAAGCTGTTGAGACTGCT